AAGCTAACACCAGAGGAAGGTTAATTAAGTCAACGACATTCTTTAAATCAGTTTTAGTTTTATTTTTAAAGAAACCTAGGTCATTTCCTGACTTATCAGTTTTATTTTGCTCCTTTTGTGAAGAACTTAATGTGAATAATGAACCATAAATATTATGACTCTGCACAGTAACGAAGTATCACTTCTGTCAAAATATCTGGCAAATACAAAAACAACTTTTTGGAGGAAAAAATGTGTTTATGTCTGTACATTAAAACTTTAAGTATGGTTAAAAAAATTGATTTGGAAATAAAAAATTAACTTTAAATTTCCAGTTGTAAAATCGAAAAATAAAGTGAAAAGGGTAAAGAAAAAAAAAATAGATTCTGGTACTGTGAAGAACATTAGACAGTGTAACAAAAAGATATTTAGTTACAGTAAGAAATTATAATGCAATGTTTAGACACTGTAAAAATAAACTGATACAAACCTGGCATTCTTTGAGGCGTCTGGGCGCAGTATCTTCACTGCGACCAGAAGAGGGCGCCCTTTCCTCACATTAAAGGGGAACTCCAGGATCGGGAGGTCCAGAGGGTTCTCTATTTCACACAGGTGAACCTTTAACCACAACAAATTAAATTCAAACACTGATGGAGGACGGCGATCTTTTCACCCAGACACGTCCTCCGTCTTCGTCAGTCCTCACCTCCCCGAACTGTCCCTCCCCCAGCTTCTCCTTGAAGACGAGGCACTGGCGCGGCAGCTCCGGCAGCGGGAGGGCGTCGGCACCAGGGCTGGAAGAGGCCAAGGCCGGCACTGCGTAGGTGTTGTTGCCGCTGACCCCCTGCAGACTGACGATGTCCGCCTCTGCATAATGCGGGACGCTGGGAGGCAGCGGCGGGGACACGGGGGGAGACAGAGACGGATAAGGAGGCGACCCCGGATAGGGAGGGGGCTCCTCGTGTGCAGAGGGGAAGCCTTTCTCCAGGTCCAAGTCCAAACCACAAGCTGGGAGACAAGAGGCAGACGGGGCGGATGAAAAGACGAGATAACCGAGAACAACCGAGTGATTTAAGACGGCCGTCTGCAGGAATAGAATCAGGAGATAAAAGGTCAGGCGACTTGTTCTGAAGGGATAGTTTGGATTTTCAGCTGAATACCAAATCCAGTGTCCAAGAAGAAAAACGTAAGCAATCTCAGATAAGTGAAATCAAGTTTTCCACTTTCCTCTGTCGGCCTGGGAAAAGGTTGTTTATTATTACAGAAGAACTGATGACGGTCCAGAGCACAGCTGCACGCTCATTCATCTACTGGGAGGCTGAGCTGGAGCTGAAATTATGCAGCGGAGCCGTCATCCTGCAGAAATATCGACACACCCCTGCACATTGTGACGGATTACAATTTTGTGAATGTATTCCCCGCTGCGGCCTCCTGCAGCCCAGTCAGTGCATTAATCATTGTTTCATTCAGTCAGCTGACAGCACACATTCACCCTCCTGTGACTTATTTTATTCCCGTGAGAGACTGAAATAATTTATAATTTCATTAAATCCATCTGCCTGCGTGAATAGCAGGTACGAACCACTTGTTATTGAATCTCCCTTTGCTCATTTACACCACATCGAACTCCTAATTTTAAACTAAATTTCAACCTGCATTTTTACCCGCTGATAAAACTGAAACGCCTCGAAAAGATAATAATTTTACGTTTGAAACCAGCGGCTCCCAGAAGGTTCAGACAGCACTTGAGTCATGGGCTTGTAGAGAGAGTGAGACCTGAATGCTAAGTCGTTTTACCTTTGAAATAATAATGAGCCTGATAGGAGAATGTTCAGCCTAAATTCACATGCAACTGCAGCCAGTAGATCACAATACTGTAACTTTATAAAGCTCATATATTTGGGAGGGAAAGCAGGAGTCACAGTGACTCCAGTAAAAAAAATATTTTATCATCTGTCATTATCAACTGGATTTGACTTCAGTGTGTTTTAATCAGGATAAAAATGGGATAACTTGGATTGGTCTGGGAAGGTAACAATTAGAAAAGTGCAGCATCCTCGTTGCAGAAGTGTGCAGTTTTGTTTCGAGTCTCGACTTGGAAATACTTTTCCACTTGCAGCATCTTGTCCTCAGCTCTCATCAACTGACCTCACAGGTTTCTGCTAAATCTAGTTTGCAGCAGGAGAGTCAAACACATTTTCATTTTGGGCCAAGTTCAAAGTCATGCATGAATGGAAGAGTTGTTTATGCCATAATGTATTGCTAAAATCCATTTTAGAACATTAAACTGTCTGCATTCGATCAGTACTTACTAAAATTAAATAACACTGCACATCTTTTTGTTGTTGAACATTTTTCATAATCAAAATCCCTGATTTTCTGATGCTACTTTAGAAATATTTGCAAGAAATTTTGCGATATTCGATATGTATGATGGTAAATGTGACCTTTTGTTACTTGCCATAAAGATCACAGATTGCAAGTAAGACTGAGGCAGCAGAAAGAAATACTGCCATCTGCAGGCGAGAGTTAGGAATCAATTTTAGTCTAAAATGGTCAACATGTTTTTGATCATTTTTGTGGAATACATGCAACTAACTTACAATTATGCATTATGCGCGGATCTGTTTATTTTGCGTCATTTTCTCAGATTTGGGAATTTCAAAAGAAAAAAGAAAAAAAACTGGAGGAACTGGCTGATGTAACAGACAAAACTTGCTCTTATATTGCTACAATAATATTTAGGTGCTCAGATGTTACCTTTAAGGTTTTACTTATGCATCCCTCTGGAGTCAGGAGGGCCAGATTAAAAGCCATGGGGGGCCAGGTTTTTGCCCCCGCCCTTCAGTTTGACACATGGACTCTTCTAATTACGTTTCTTCTGATGAAGTCGTGTTTTTGTACCATTGTTGTTGTTTGGGACTCACTGTGATGATTTCTTGCAGACATCTGATAGTTTTGGGACAAAAACTTCTCTGCAAACTACGGCTTTAGACGAACGACACCAGAAAGATCCTGCAAGGACAGATGACCTTCACTTCAGCTCTGCTGTTGTTACAAGAAGATTATTATACAACTAGAAATAATTAGTCGTTTTCTGGGTTATTGACATTCATGATGCATCTCAGATTGAAATTATTTGCAGATGTAATGAGAATGGACAGTTAATTGAAAAAGTAATAATGTCGGCCAGCTGTTGCTCCTAAAGGAGTGGTCTTTAAATAAAATAAAGGTCAAATTACTCCCAGTTTCCCAGTGGGAAGTCCGACTTTGGAGGGTTTTACTCATCATTGCACAGTGAAAAAGGTGAGAATGGATTTCCAACTTAAAAAATAATTTGTTACATGCAGTCAAATTAAGTTTGTCAAATTTATATTTGCTTAACATGACAACTTAATAAATGAAATATATTTACTTGCATAAACTTAATTTGACTGCTTGTAAAAAACTAACTCAATATATTTTAAGATGGATCACCCGTTTCCTTTTCAGTGTATACAATATGGTTGTATTCGCTCGTAGACTCAATCTTTGGCATACTGTCATTTATAAAATCGTACTGAAACCATTTTGTATTTTCCTGCATAAGTAGAAAGTCCACTTGAGGATATTCTCTTCAATCTGAGAAATTAATTTACTTTCGGTAAAAATGAGTGAACTTAACTTGGGGAGAAATCTTTTTGGTTTTCTGCTCCATCTTCTAAATGTATGCATACATGAACCTTAAGATGCTGATGTCACTAAATATTTTTAAGGCTGTTCTTACCGATTTTGAGAAGAAATCATCTGTCTGTAAATGTTTTAATTAATTTATGTACGACTGCGTTGCGTTTGAATGTGCTGTAGACTCTGTGCTGCTGCCCGTCTTGGCCAGGATTCTCTTGTAAAACAGATTTTTAATCTCAGTGGGATTTTCCTGGTGAAATAAAGGAAGTGGTAATTTCCCAGCTCCGAGTGCAGCTGGAACGCAGCATGATAACCTGGTGCTGCTGAGGCGTTCACAGAAACTAAACTCAATCAAAGTAAAAAACATAAATTAAAAAAAGCTCTATGTGAAACTTTCCAGTTCCTTAGAAACCAAACTATCCCTTCAAACAAAGGAAGGAGTTATGTGATGAGTGAATGGGAGAATGGGAAGGTCGCATGCAGAAACAGATTGTTAATATTTGGGAGAAAATCTTCTCCTGCCTCGACGCCGACAGGTCGGTAGGTGAGTGGAAAGCAGGGGATCCTCCTGACTGTGCCGGCCCAGTCTGAGGCTTCTTACCCTGGGGCACATTCAGGCTCTTTTCCTGAGCCTGAGCCGATCTCGGGACGACTACAGCTCTGGAGCCTTTTCTGTGATCTGGTAGGAGCACGTGATAGGCCGGATTGTTTAGCAGCAAGGCTACAAGGTCACACACACACACACACACACACACACACACACACACACAGACAGAGACGTACAGAACGAGGTGGGGCGCACAAACAAAATCATAACATGGAACAAAACAGAATCATGACAGTGTTAGCGTGTTCATGTACATATGAGGAAGAACATCTCAGGCAAGTTAACACAACCCAACAGAAATTAAAAACTGACTGCATGGGATGTTTGTTACTCTTGTTATTTCAAACTCACACAGGCGCCTGGTGAAGACGGCATGCCAACCTCCTGAAGAACAATGCAAGCAAAGGAATGCATTTTTTCTTCTTTAATCCTCAGCTTCTCCTCCCTATCCTCCCCTCTCTTCGGAACAATAGCTCTTTTGTGCCCCCTCTGCACCGTGCATCTTCTTGCAGGCAGTCTTCCTTGCAGGATGTTTGGTTTGATTTACTTTTGTTTGGTGTGGTGGAATATTCTGCAACGCCACAGTTTTCTAGATAGGCACGCCACATCGGGAGTTTTCCTCCTGCTTTTGCCCCATCAGCCAAATGAGTTTGCAAAATCACAAACTGAGACATGCAAACTGAGCGATGTGGTACAAACCACAGGCATGAGTGCAGAAATTTAAATACGGGACATATGGAAGGTGGGATTGTTGTCACATTTTCTGCTTATTTATTGCCAGCTGATGTGTTTTGCATGTTTTCTTGCCTGTCAACATGTTGCGCAGAGCAGAGCTTTGCGTAACAAAGCTCTTTCTCGCTTTTTTGTGATCTTTTGTAGTCATTTTTATTTAACTTTTCTTCCAGTTTTCTGAGGGACGTTTACTTTTGTTCCTTTAGACTTTGGCTCCTTTTTTTACCCATCGACTGTCCGGTCCTTGCGCCAAACCATGCCAACTTTTAAAACGGCTCTCCTCTAGAAATGACCTGTCGCAATAAGCAATAAATCAAAACTTGGCACCGATATGTGCATTTTTGCTTTCAAGGAAATTTTAGATTTATACAAGAGACATAATACCAGAATTTTTATGTGTTTTATAGATCCATCAAAAGCCTTTGATCATGTTAATCATGAAAAATTGTTTCATAAATTACATATGAGAGGAGTTCTGAAATATTTATTAAGAATATTAGTGTATTGGTATGCTCACCAGAATATGTCTGTAAAATGGGGAAACTCTGTCATCTTATTTTATGTGGGTAATGGTGTGCGACAAAGCAGCATTTTATCTCCTTGGCTTTTTAACCTGTATATGGATGATTTATCTAAGCTGCAGAATCTATGTAGAACTGGCCGTCGGGTTGGTAACCGAACCATCGACCACCTGATGTACGCCGACGATCTTGTGATATTCTGTCCATATAGTGCAGCATCTGTTAAGGGTTTGCTCTCAGCATGGGTTACAGCATGATATTAAATATAGTGCAAAAAACAGCAACATCATGATTATCAAGAGCAAAGAAGACACTAAATTATCTTTTCCTGACTTCACCCTGTCTGGCAGCATCCTCCAGGTCACTGATGAGGTCAGATATTTGGGACATTACATCACCTACGGTGATGTAATGTCCTGTGGAGACGTTTAAAGGCAGTGTTGTACTCAATATGTACAAGTTAATATTCTTCTTCGGAGGTTCTCCATGTGGTCAGCATCTATAAAATTGCACTTTTTAAAGCATCCATTACTCCAATGTATCCAGCCCACCTGTGGCAGCGTTACAGGAAAAGCAGTATGAATAAACTTCAGGTCGCTCATAATGATGGCATGAGGATGCTGCTGAGGGCGCCCCGATGGAGCAGAGCCAGTCAGATGTTAGTGAATGCCAATGTACCAACCTGCGCTGCTGTGCTTCGAAACATTATGCACAGATGAAGATTAACAGACTCTGCAAACGGCATCATTCAGACTTTGACCAATCCTGTTCAAAGCTCAGCGAGGTTCTTCTCCGGTTTGTGGAATCACTGGCACATTAGTTTATATGTCAGTGATTGATTATTTTATTATATATATTTTTTTCTTTTTATTGTTCTTGTTCCGTTTATGGACCATAATTGTGTCTAAATAAAGTGGATTTATTGATATAGTTTCTCTTTTTTAGCTCTTCCTACCAAAAACTGGATGAAAAAGGTTCTTCAGTCAGATGCTTTTTTTCCTCAACTAGCCATTTTTTAAGGACAGTTTTGTTACAGAGACTTCAGTTCCTATTTTATTTGTCGTTTCTGTAGTTTTGTTTATTTATTTTGGATAATTAAAATGTTTTCCAGATCCAGGGTTAAATGTCCATTAGAATTTAAAGTTTATTGAGCTTTGACAATTTATTCTTGCATTATTTTGCTTTTACTATTGTATTGCCTAAAAACAACCTCAAAACAAGAAAATATTTTAATCACAAAAACATCTGGGACAGTTTATTGTCAAGCAAAATTTGCTATTGTGCATTGCAAAACCACAACATCTTACTCAGTATTTTTGTCTAGTTTCAAGTGCAAATATCTTAGTTCACTTGAAAGGAAAGAAACAAACTTACATGAAACTTTTCAGCGATATAGAGGAGCTTGTTTTAGGGTTAGGGTTCCTTAATATTGATGAAAATGTGCCAATTCCATTGGCACACTATTACAACAAGATGTTTTTCCATGTTAAATTGGTTTTGCCTTGTTTCAGGTGTAATAAGGTATTTGTGCTAGAAACTAGACAAATACTTGGTAAGATTTTGTGTTTTTGCAGTGCAACAGGCCACTCAAGACTGTATCTGTGAAAAGAGTCCCTGCAGTCTGCAGCATTTCAAAATAAACATGGCAGAAAAAGCTTCTTCTTCAGTCAAATGTGCTGAAGCTGGGTTAATTATTATCATTATTATGAGGATACATCTTAAATCTCAGTAGACATTTATGTTGAGGGTACTTCCATTTATGCCATGATAGCTTTGGACACCCTGTAAAGTTTCATTCCAAGCCACACCAGCACTAATGCGATGCTCCATAATCAGCCAAAGAAACGACACCCAGAGGCCGACAGTGAAGGAAAAGCCACAGGAAGTTCATTTGAAAGCTGCTGAGGTTAGACATGCCGTTTTCTACATTTTCCCTTTATTGGGCTGTTTATAGAGGCGTTTTGTCCTGTTCACACTGCAGTCAACGCTCTTTGCTGAGGTCAGATTTTTGTGCAGTTTTTCCACATTGTAATTTAAATGCAACGACTTCAGACTCCAGTGTGAACAGGCCTCTGTTCTTCAGCCTTGAATGAAACGCGTGTTGGTCATCATGATGCTGTCACACTTCAGTGGTGTGAATGAAATGCCAAGTGAAATGCAAAGCGACCATTCAGACTGGGGTCACATTTAGGATCACATATTAAAGCAGCCTTTACTTGACTTTAAGATCAGTTTTGTTTTATGTGGGCCACATATGTGCAAAACGGTCAGATTGTGGCTGAATGTTGACAGTATCTGAAAAGGACTAATGAGTGAAAAAGCAGTGCTAAAAACTTTAAAGAAACACGTTCCAAAGAAATGTCAGGAAGAAATAATGAAGAAAAAGGATGACTTGAGGCTCTGAGACCACTTTATGTCACATTATTTATGTTCCAAAACTGACTTGGAAACATTTCCTCCAACACACAGATTTAATATTAAAGATAAGCAACATTTAAACCCCTCAGTGTTTGTTCTGTAACTTACTGGTGCTGTCCCTCTGGTCTCTGGGCCGCAGCAGAGCGCTGGGCTCCTGATACTCCCCCTCTGCGTCTCTGTCATGGTCCCGGTCGTCAGGAAAAGTGTGTATGCGCTGGTAGCGGCTCGAGTAGCTGTGTGTGTTGTTGATCACCACGTTGTCCGAGGGGACGGACAGATGGACTCGGAGCTCTGAGCTGGACAGACTGCCCTGCGCCTGAAAGGCAGCATGAAGGAACTATTAGGGCTCAAATCCTGGACACAAACTTTAATCGCTTTAATAACAGCGCATATAAATCCAGATGGAGACGGGCTGGTTTACTGCCAGAAGGCTGGCAGCTGTTCTCTCCAGCTATTATTAACTCAAACTGAATCAAAGCGACGGTGTGGCTTCATGAAATAAAATATTTCCAGCTTAGAAATAACACCGTAAAAGGTCCAGCTCCTGACCCACCTTGCCCAGAATCTTTTTCCAGTACTGCCTCCACAGAATGACGACTATAACAGCCAGCAGCAGCAGGATGATGCCCACCAGGCAGCCGATTAGAATCGCTGTGTTACTGCCGTCGTCTTTGGCTACAGGAAGTCCCGCCCTCGGAGTAACGGCAGCAAATTCTTGAAATGGGGAAAAAGAAAGAAGAAATCAATTTCAGTTAGCTTTTTATTTATTATGTGTGACATCGAAAATTTTCCACTTTTAATGGTTTCAAGATTTTGAGTTAAAGAAACCTTCAGCAGAAAAACTATGCATGTCAAAGTGACTAACAATCACAGGTGAGTAAATTATTTACATTCACCAGCCGTTGTTTCTGTTTTGGTTGAGTTCGTATCACCCAGTCACACCATGATGCGTTTAAATTGCATTACTATATCAATTACAAATGAAGCATTTCACAGAAATCACAATCTGATGCTGTATAAATGCAATCAGATCATCAAAAAAGCCTCCGGGTTTTGAAAAATCCTGCAGCTTTAGCACCAGAGCTTCAACATCAAGCTCATAAACAGTCCATTGATTTGAATTTTGCATCACAGCGTCAGTATCAAGTTCAACACAAATGTCTCAGCAATGACATAAATTAATCTCCTGCTACGCTATGCTGATGCTCAGTCTGTGCTGAAGAAGATTCAGTGATCTCAGTATGCAAGTGACGAGTTCTGCCTTTTTCAGATTAATTTTTCTATTAGTATTTAACCATTTGCTGAAGACTTGAAACACCTGCAGAGAGACACTTTAATTAAACTTTGATCCCAAGATGGGAGATAATATAAAAAACAAGGAAAGAAATGGTAAATTCACAGCAAAACATAACTTACTCTGCCCTGACTCACTATACTTCATCATTATAAACAATACATGTAAGAGGCATCTCATCAACATCCTTTATATACACATGTAATTTTTGCCAAATGTTTTATTCTCGTGTAAAACACATTATTAGAAATGGCCATATACATGGCAGGGTAAGAAACTATGTTAGCAACTTTATTGATTATTTACCTGAATCTCACATTTTGTGGTGGTGCCACTGAGCAGTCTTGGTATTTTCCTGTAACGAAGCATTAAACTGGTCCCAAACTACGAAACTACCTCCACTGTGACAGACTATATTTTTATGATGCCATAAAATTAAGTTCCCACATATAATGAGGTACATTTGTAAAAGCAGCATTTTTAAAAATCTCGGTGACTCCTCCTGGTTTTTTTAGTGACAGATTTTTTTTTTGACGACTAAAGATTTTCTTTGTACCTTTTAGGTTTTCATGATAAGTTTTCAAATTAGATTTTTTTTTTCCCAGGACGCCTACTCGCATCAGATGGGGATTTATTCCATCAGTCAACGTGTCTCCTTATGAGACAAACCCAAGCCAAGTCCTGAATGCGTCTGTAGCCTTTCCCAGATTTATGCATTTTGTCTCATCTTGGTTCCTGCAGAAGTCGTTGAAGCACTAAACAAACTACTCTTTAAAGGCTCCACCTCTCTGACGCAGACGGCATGCAGCTTCAGAGGCGCCTCAAACGGCTCTGCAGCAAATCTCCAACTTATCCTTTTACAGCCGGCCAAATGTAAAAGATTGCTTTAGAAATTGAATATTTCCAAGTCAACATGGTGGATAAAAGAAGACAAATGACGAACAGAACGACACCTGATGTTAGTTTTACTTTGAGCCAAACTCGGGTCCTTGTGCACCGGCGATAATAACTGACAGCCGGTTTCAGAAGATGATAAACAACGTGGCTTCCTCCTCAATCCTTCTGCTGCACCTTTTGTTCCTTTCAAGCATTGTCTTAAAGCTTAGATGTAAATTGGACTCAGCCATGATTTATGAGCCACTATAAGTGAGTTGTTGTGTATTTTTCTGCAGAAAGAAATCCATCTTTCATTTCATTACTCCATTTTTGTGTTTGGGGCATATCTGACCAATAATCTGTGGACTGAAGGTGTGTGAGTAACAGGCTTATGAAAACATGCCAGTGTTATGACTATAAATTAAACTAAATTAGATTTCTGTTTTGTGCTTACAAACACATGCTCTGCATAAAGAAAATGTGTGTTTTAGAATTAAATATGTGGGTGCAGCCTCTGCAGCTGGAGTTGCGAGAAAGTTTGGGAGTGAGCGTGCTTTCAAGTCCAACCACAGAAAAACATCCAGGAAATGATGATTTAGTTCCGTTTATTGCTTTATTCTGTGAATGACCACAGTTTATTCACTAGTTCATCAAAGCAGCAAAGTTATGCTGCATTCTGTGACAGCTGGGAATTTGGACTTTCCCCTTTTTAGTGCTGGACAAAATTTCAGAAAAACCTCAAAGAATTTTTCTCCTAGTCTTGAAGGTTATTACATGGTCTTGTGATATTTCTAAATTTCTTACATTTTGCACCATGAAATGCATAATTACCCCATTTCCAAATGCTTTTGCCCTAAACTTTAAAGGCATACCAGTTTTCCTAAATGTGTATTGTGTTAGTTTTTTATGTCCCAGACTTACAAAGAAGTGAAATGAAAATTATGCTTTACAAATAGAAGAAACTTAACTTTTACACTCACACAGGAAAACGGCTTCAGACAGATGTGTAATTGTATAACTACACATCTTTGAAAAGTAGAAGTAGAACCTCCTGCACAAACAACAAGAATGCAGCAAGTGGTTTCTGAATGGTAAGTCAACAACAGTCAACAGCAGCCATTGTACAGCGCACACAGTGGTAGAACCAGCTGACCAAAGGTGCTGGAATTCAGCGTCAGTTGCTCGGTAACGGGGCTGGTCTTAGCTGGGGTTGCTAGGTAACAATGCAGCCCCTTTTGAATATGACTCAACAATCAAGATTTTTGAAACAGCTAATTTTCCTCATTGTCTTATAGCCAAACAACAGATGGGTTGTTCATAAGTGATTGGGCTGCTTTCAGGAGCAGTTAAGACCCAAACAGTAGTAAAATAAAAACATGCAAAATGTGAATTTTGCATAATGTTATCTCCCTCATCTCCCCCTTATCTCTTCTAAGACATAGCTGTCCACCCAAACCGGCAAACAGGGAAGGAAAGAATTAGAGAAACCACCAAGAGACCCATAATAACTGTAGAGGAGCTGCAGATATTCAAAGCACAAATGGGAAAATCAGCTAATGGGACAAACAAATCTGCTTTTATGGAAGAGAGGAAAGAAGAAAGTCATTGGTAAAATAGAAAAAAAAGGGGGGGGGTGGAAGTAATGAAAGACAAACAATGTTTTAAGTGATGGAAAACTACCAATGCACAAAACCCTAAACATGCCATACCCACTGTGAAACATGGTGGTGGCAGCATTATGCTGTGGGGACGCTTTTATTCAGCAGCAACATAAAAGAAGATCAGAGATAATGACAAAATGGATGGAGCCAAATATTGACCAGTCCTGTAATAAAAACCTGCTGCAAGCTGAAAAGTGTAGAGACTTTATCAGGACGATGACTTTAGATTCACAGCTAAAGCTCATGTGTTAGAAGGGCCCAGTCAAAGTTCAGGACAAATCCAGCCTATTAAGAAGAATGGTATCTAGATGTGCAAAGCTGGAAGTGATTTAAACAAAAAAAAACAAAAAAAAACATATAAAGTTCTGACTCAGAGAGGCTGAATGCAAAGGCACGGTACACTGCTCTGACTTTTATTGTGAAAGTGTTTCCTATACTCTGCTGGTGTTGAAGTTTCTGGTCGTGACTTTACAAGACGTTAAACCATTCAAGGGTTATGAAAACTTCAAGGAGGAATATAATCTCTAACAGAAACATTTTACACCATAACAATCACTAAATAAAAGAAGCAGCAGGAAGTATGATGCCTTTATTCCTTTTAGGCTATTTTTCTGATGTAATGCGACTTAGAGAGACCTTCGTATTGCCAAACAGTTTTCTAAATTATTCTGTATTCAGTCGCTGTGTGGCTTTGTGGATTTATAACCAGAGTGTGGCATAAGCTAGTGCACTGAAGAGCCTTCAAACACCAGCGCTCTCAGAGGAGTCGCGCTCTCACAGGGGGGGGTCACACACCAGCACAGGCACACCAGGCTTACTGCACATCTGACTGGGACCGACTGCTTCAATATTCACCATAACCCAGAGCCTAACGTACCCCGCTGCTCAGGGAGCAGCGTGTCCGTGTGGTTTCACTTCTAAGTGGCTTTGTAGCCAAGGAATAATTAGAATAAGCCAGTTTCTTTCTCCTTTCAATGTCAACCAAAGCATGTTTGTTGAATAAAAAAGAAAGACCAATTTTCCACTGGTCTGTGGCGAAATCTCTATATAATCCAAGTTTTAAGAGGCAATAAAAGGCTGGACAATATGGCTGAAAAATGTATAGACATTCCATATCAGTCAATAGATAATTATTACTTACCTTGTTTTAAAATCTGAAATGCTGACAAAGCCGTGACCTTTCCTGTTTTATCCACAGTTTTCACTACACCGTCGTTTTTTTATTTTAAGCGTTTATGAGGTACAGTGAGACCTTAAACTGCCGCTGTGTCAGTTACTCAACATGTTGTTGCTAGGTAACCAAAGAGTGAATGCGTTGCTAGGTAACCACAGAGTGAGTGAGGTAGTTGAGGCCTCAACTGGCCAAGTTTGAGCAGCTAAAGTGTTTCCTCTGCCTACATCTCCCAGAATGCCAAGCTGTTCTGGATCGTAGTTCAGTGAATATTCTATCAGGCATATTATCTGCTGATATTGATCACTTGTCTACCATGATAAATGGTATTGATTTATTGTCCAACCCTATTAGCGGGTGTAGAGGCCTCCACAGAAATGTAAGACACTAGTTGCCTGTTGCATCATTAAGCACTTAGTTTGTTTTTCTTTTTTTAATATCGCGATATTGTTTATTTCTTCATTTAAAAACTGCTTTTTGTATTTACTCAGGTCATCTCTGAACCTCTGAGTTGTTTTTGATTATTACTAAGTGGAACATTGATCAATACATTTGGTGTACATTTGACAAAATGTAATGTTAATTGCTCATTTCATAATTCGTTACCGTGTTGTGTTTTTAAGGCGTAAAGAGCTTTGAACTGCCTTGCTGCTGAAACGGGCTATAAATAAACTAGATTTGATATTTAAATCAATTTGATGGTATGAAACATTTAATGGTGGCACAAAAAGACAAAGACAGAACATAGCAACCCATGCACATGCCTACATTTATAAATCCAGATTTACCAGCGAGTGTTTTAAACAGTCTGTCAGAGCATAACAGTGTTCCTGCATCTCTCTCTCTCTGTCACTTGAACACCATGCGGGTAATAAATAAACCCAGACAAAGCCATCCAACCACATCCAGTAAAAAGTACAAAGCAGCAAACACGACACAGAAAACCATTTCCAGCTCTTTTCATTTTTTTTAAAAAGCCTGTTATTGTTTAGCTGTGTAGAACAGAGCCAGCTCGCCAACAAAACATGCAGTTTGTGAGACCACAGGAAGCCAAGATGTTATGGGATGCAAATATAATTTACTATGGCTGCGTTAAGAGTTGTTTCCTCGAGCTGTTTATTTTCCAACTCTGGGGACAGAGCCCAGTGCCAAATCCTGTCCCTCTAATCCCTGCTCCATTATTGTACAGCAAACTGTCTACTTAGCACAGCGGACAGGTTTTTTTAAGCTACCGGAGGAGAGCCAACGCAAATGGAGCTGACCTCCTTCTCCGTCTCTTTAAGAAAATAAAAAAAGAGAATCTCCTTTGGTGCACTCTCTCACCTGACAGCGTCCAGTTAGCAGTGGTGTCCATCATGAGGGTAGTGGCGGTGGGGGGTTCTGGAGGAGCGAGGGATGAACAAGGGAGGAAAGTGTGAGAGGAGAGCTGATGAAGGCTCAAAGAAGAGGGATGAGGGGAATTTTTATCTGTCTCAGCAAAGGTGGAGTTCTGTGTTTCCTTGACCAAGTCAGGATAGGACTATGGCCTATACAAAGCACGTTTATTACATATTTTTGCACAAAATCATTCTTAGATAATGAGATTTCACTCTAGAAGCTTATGTGAGCTCCTTTCAGAATGAGCAGTTTTAGGGCATCTTGTCACTTTAAATCCAAATAAGTTGCTGCTGGCCACACCCCAAACTCAACATTTACACTCATACATGAAACTGGCTGCAAACAGCTGCACAATAATACCACCATACATCTTTGAAAAGCAGAAGTAGAGCGTCCTGCACAACCAACAAGTATGCATCAAGTGGTTTCTGGATGGTAAGCCACCAACCAAACACTTGTCTTTTTCAGCAGCCATTGTACAATAAATGCAGCAGTAAAACCAGCTGACCAAATGTGCTGGAGCTTCACTTGGGTTGCTAGGTAACAGGCTGGCGTTGCTAGGTGAGGGGCAGAGCCTGCTGATTTGTGATGTTGCATTCCAAAGGTTTTTGAAGCGACTCATTTTCCAGTCACTAAAAATCATTAACTTATTGCCAAAATATGGCTGGATGGGTTTGTTTAAGCGCTTGCTTTGATTCTAGAAGCAATTGAGACCCAAATGGAAGTATAAAAAAATGCAAAATGTTGGCACGGCGGTGGCACACGGATAAAGTGCTCGACCCATAAGGAGGCCGCAGGTCTAGGCGCGTTGATCACAGGTTGGAGTCCCGGCCTGTTGAGCTTTGCTACACATCTTCCTCCCTCTCAAAAAAAGTACAAAATGTAAATTCTTCATAACATGTCCCTTTTAACAACCATGTTGACGTTGTAAAAGCTTCCTCGTGATGGTAATCGTTTAATCTTTCTCTTCAGTGTTTCCAAAAATCACCATAAAATATAGAAAATAAGTGTCTGCAAATAACCTGAGGTCAGAATAAAATATATTTCATAGTTTTGTCAAACTCATAAGTGCAGTCGCCACAGGAGAAGATAAAGCGATGGGGAATGAAACCAGAGACAGGAGAGGAAAGAGATAAAAGAAGAAAAGCAGAAAGGAAGGGAAGGACAGACAAAAGGCAGGATGTTGTCAAGTGAGGATCAGAAACTTGACCCAAACCTACCAGAAGGCTTAGAGCTGGTGCTGAATGAGTCGTGACTCGATGTGGGACCAGAGGTGGTGACGTTCCCCAGAGGAGTCGGACTAGGGTCCGGAGACTTTGGATGATTTTGATGAAATGAATCAGCGTCCGTCTCATCCTCTCCAAATGGTTCTGGATACGCAAAATATGGAGAAAACAAAGGGGGAAAAAGTGAACAACAGACTAACTAGCCCTGGTTTTTCAACAAGGGAGTGAACAACTTGTTACTGAGGGAAAATTCAAAGTTAACTTCTTACTAACATGTAAGAAGGTGTTTTAAAGAAAACTATTTTTACACAACATACTGAGATACGTCTACAGCTCATCCAGGCTGTAAGAGAAAACGAGGCTTTTAGCAGATGACCACAACAAGAGATGCTCAGATTTATACTTTTAGGCTGGGTATATATTTATATTATGGAGAAAAATTGGGTTTTGAAAAGGTAGGAGCCTTTCAAAACCTTTGAAAACACTTAGCCACAACGGCAAAAATGGTCAAATTGCACCTGAGTTTAAAGAACCACAGAAGCTTATCCAGGGGTGAACGTAAGGGGGTACGGTAGGGTGCTGCGTACCCCTAAAAGATTTAGCGGGGGTACGCAGCACCTGCAAGAGAGTGGAGCGGCTGTCTGCTGTAAAAAATCAATGGGTTCACTGTGCAGCTGTGAGTTCACCCACTAATCAGCCATGACTGATTAGTTTTTCAAGAACAATCTAAAACACGACTTAATCAGTTAATAAATAACTTTTTTCCCATTTCATATTGTTTCTGAACTGTTCGTGCAGGAACAACATCAGACATCTCAGTCCAGAAATGTGCAGTTCTAGGCACAGCCAAGATACTGGAGGAAGCCTCAAGCTCCCAGGCCTGGTAGAGGACCCGAGCTCAGAGGATGAAAGAGAGAGAGACCACCCGCGGAGGGTGAGAAGGAATTTATTTACATATATATATATATATATATATATATATATATATATATATATTTTTTTTTTTTTTTTTTTTTTTTTTTCCCCCCCCAAATTTTAA